CCAGGTAAGGTGGGTCCAGGAGAGGTGCACCCAGGTAAGGCTGACCCAGGTGAGGCTTGCCCAAGTGAGGTGCACTCAGGTGAGGGGATCCAGGTGAGGTGCACCCAGATGAGGCTGCCCAGGTGAAGGCAGGTCCAGGTGAGCCTGGCCTAGGTGAGGCAGGTCCAGGAGATGTGCACCAGGTAAGGCTGACCCAGGTCAGGTGGGTCCAGGAGAGGTATACCCGGGTGCGGCTGGCCCAGTAGAGGTGCACCCAAGTGAGCCATGCCAAAGTGAGGCTGGCCCCAGGTGAGGTGCAACAAAGTGCAGAGGGTCCAGGTGAGCTGTACCCACGTAAGCCATGCCCAGGTGAGGCTGGCCCAGATGAGGTGAGGCCAGAAGAGGTGCACCCAGGTGAGGCTGACCCAGGTGAGGTTGGCCCAGGTGAGGCAGGTCCAGGTGAGGTGTACCAGGTGAGGCTGATCCAGGTCAGGTGGGTACAGGTGAGGTACACCCGGGTGAGCCTGGCCCAGGTGAGGCGGGTTCAGGAGAGGTGCACCCAGGTGAGCTATGCCCGAGTGAGGCTGGCCCAGGTGGGGTGCGCCCAGGTGAGGTGAGACCAGGAGAGGTGCACCCAGGTAAGGCTGACCCAGGTGATGCTGGCCCAAGTGAGATGCACTCAGGTGAGATGGGTCCAGGTGAGGCAGGTGCAGGTGAGGCTGGCCTGGATAAGCCATGTGTAGGTAAGGCATGTCCAGCTGAGGGAGGTCTAGGTGAGGCAAATCCAGGTGAGGCTGGCCCAGGAGAGGTGTGCCCAGGTGAGGCATGTCCAGTCAAGGCTGGTCTAGGTGAGGCAGGGCCAGGAGAGATGTGCCCAGGTGAGGCTGGCTCAGATGAGGTGGGCCCAGGTGAGTCATGCCCAGGTGAGGCTGGCCCAGGTGAGGCATGTCCACTTGTCCAGCACTGTCCCCGCCTGGCCACCTTGCATGTCCTTCTTCCTACAGAAGTTGGAGGAGGAAGCATCCGTGGCCCCCAGGGAGGCCACTGGTGGGGCTGTGGGTGGTGCCCGGCCACCCCTGTTGCCTGTGGTCATCCGTGAGGCCGAGGCCAGGCCCTTCGAGGTGCTCATGCAGTTCCTGTACACAGACAAGATCCAGTACCCGCGGAAAGGTCCGCCAGGGCAGGCACACAATGGGGCACGCTCTGGGTGGGGTGGGGCTGCCCCATTGTGGGAGGGGCGATGCCTGCTTTACAGTGCAAGGCTGGGACTACCATGGTCACAGACACCA